GATACACACAAACCCAGCCGCCTGCCGTGCAGACGGCCATCCTCCCTCGGGCCCTGCAGGCCTGTTACTAGCTCCGTGAACACGGCAGGGAGGCGGCTCCAGCCTGGCCCGCCCCCCGTAACACCCCTTCCCCAGTACCAGAGAGCCAGGTGCAGACCCGCCCACTGCGTCCCCTTCCACTTGGTCCTCCCAGATGTGTCCGTCCTCCCGGGACCCTCAGCACGCCCTGCCCCTGGGAGAGGCACAGTGGCCTCACAGACACCTGGAGGGAGGCCCAAGCCAGGGACAAACGCTGGTGACACTAGAGTAAGACGCCACACACTACAGGTGAGGAAGGGGTCAGAGCGCACGACGTCAGGGTGGTCCTGGAGCGGATATCCCTGCGGACGCCCTGCCCCTGCCCAGTGACATCTCCGCAGACTTGCAGCCACCAAGACTGTGACAATAAGCGTGTGCTGCTTTAATGCACAGGTCTGTGGCTGTCACAGCGGCACAGGGAAGGAGATCCTTCCCGCCTCTGTGACACTGAGCCAGACTAAAGCGGCCCCCCCTCAACAACCCATCACGGAGACCAGGCGGTCCCCGCTGCCGGGCCCCACCCCCCATGGCCCTCCTGCCCACAGGCGTCACGGTGTGCGTCTTTCTGCAGCCTTCCGTGTCACTGCTGCGTCTGGGGCGTGCCCCTCACTGGGTCTGTGCACAGGAGTCCGGCTCGGGCTCACTCCCCACCCAGAGGACAGTCTGCGCCGTGGCCATCTGGCCATGATGGAACGTGCCATCGTGCTCGGCCGTCCCCCACTACCTGAGTGACGCTGACAACCAAGCCAAGGCCACGCTTCTCTTGAAGCCGCTGGCTGTCAGGACAGTGACGGCCGGCTGGCACTGTCAGCCTGTGCGTGGAGCTCGGGCGCCCGTCCCTCGTTCCTGTGTCCCTCCTGTCCTGTCTGACAGCCCGGGTTCCCTTCCTCTAAAAACAAGACACTGGTTCGGCCGCGTCTCACTCAGCTCCTAGAAGCAGCACTGACAAGGGACCGGCCTAGGCAGCTGGTGGCACGTGGTGGGGGAGGGGGCTGTGACTCTGGCTGAGGGAGGAATCTGAGGGCAGAGGCCCTGCCTGGCCCAGCCGGCCCGCAGGCCACCTTCACTCGCTGGGGGAACGCCGGCGCCCTCCAGTGGCCGGCAGGCGATTCTCGCAGAACCACCTCTGGGGGGCAAAACCTCACGCTGCAGGGCGGCTCTGTCGCACTGGCGTTCCAAAAACATCAGTCAAACGTGAAAAAGTGACGTCAAAACGGCGTCACGACAGAAAGGCCCGTGGACCCAGGCATGGGGGTCAGTCCTGCCCCGTTAACGGGCTGGGATTCCCAGCAGGTGGGGTGTCAGCTGAACTTGGGGTGCCAGACGTGGCTGGGCAGGGCCAGGAGGGGCCCCTTCTACAAAGCGCAGACAGCTGGCAGAGGCAGGGTGCAAGGAGCAAGCCGCGGGCGGAGGCGGGGTGGGCGGTGGATGCTGCCAACGGTGCCTGCGGGGGCCCCAACTTGGGACCGAGGCCCACGTCCCACCAGCAGCGCCAGAGCGAACGGGCAGGGCACCGAGAGGCCCGCAGGCCTGGCCCAGGATGGCGTCCACCTCCAAGTGGACGACACTGCACACCTGACGATGGACCCGGGCCACGAGGCTGGCCCGAGGGCTGTGCTGCTGCCGTGGCACCTGCTGGGCACCGTCCCTTCCGTGGCGGACACGCCCCACTACAGAGGGGATGCTGGCGGCCAGGCCTGGGCAGAGCAGGTGCTGGCCCAGGCGCAGGGCCACCAGGTCCCAGCCACAGGACGGCACATGTGCGCTCCCGCAGCTCCACCCGCAGCACAGAGGGGTGCCCGCTGCCCCCCGACTGCCCTGGCCCCCGCCTGCCCTGAGGCCTCCCATGGGCCCGCTGGGACAGACCAAAGGCCACGTGGAGCCTGGCCAGCGCCTCACTGTGGACAGCCACCCTGCCGTGCCAAGTGCGACACGACCCCATGGTGGACCTGGCCCCTGCTTCTCGACTGGCAGGACCCTGGGCCAAGCGGCGGAAGCGGCCACACGGGGACAGCGTTCTTACCTCTACGACCGTGTTCAGGGAGGTGTCAGAACCCAAGCTCATCTGTGTGCCAGGGACATTGTTGCTAATGGTGGCAGGCACGACACACATGGGGACGCAGAACTCCTGGTAGCTGCTACGCGCCTCGGCAAACGCGACTGAGCTCTCGAAAGCCTGAAGCGGGTGTGGCTGGTCAGTGGGCGCCCGGCCCCTCGCCTGCTGTCACCAGGTGGGGCCAAGCACCCCGTGAGTCAGTGGGAGAGGTGGCTGCGGGAGCAGGGGTGACCGGATGAGGCCCTGGGTGCAGGGACCAGGGGTCGGGCTTCGGCAGGGGCGCTCACCGCCCAGCACGAGGGGACGCAAGCAGGAGGCAGCAAAGCAGGGCTGGAGGCGGCTTCGGGGTTAGTGGTGACCGAACAGCTGGCCTTTTGGGCAGCCCGGAGGCGAGGGGAGCAGCCAGCCAGGTGACTTCCTGCACTGAGCAGCACGGGCCCTGCCTGCTGGGACCCCATCAAGCAACCCCAGGGCCTGTGCATCACTGTGTCAGGAGGACCCGTGCCCTGCGTGTCACTCTGCAGTTCTTACACAAAGCAGCACAGAGAACTCAGAACCCCAAGGTTCTTTGGGACCCCAAAGTGAAATCGTTTTGGCTCCAGTGTCAAAAAAGCCAGCTCTTCGCAAGCGCATGGCAGGGTCGTCTGCCTCGAGTGTTAACCGGAACAGTCTGTTAATGACACAGGTCCACCGTCCCCCATCCCTGAGCACATGGCACTCCAAACACAGCCGGCCTTCGGTGACATTTGTGGGCAAACAGCCTACGTGTGGTCTTTACTCATGCCCAAGTGTCCTGCTGCGGGGTCCCATGGGAGGAAGGCTGGGCCCACCGCCCACCCCCGCTGCCCTGTGCTCTGAAGTGTGCCGGCTCTGGGGGCACCGTGGCCTGGGGACTGCAGCTGGTGGACCTGCGGCGGGTTAGTCCAGGGCATCAGGAGGTGAGGCGAGAGCGTCACTCACCTGCCTGATGGCGCCTAAGCCACCACCCCTCCCTCCCACCCATCTCCTGCTTGAGGGGAGACGTGTCACAGAATCACGAAGCCACCTTGGACACTGGCGCTGTCCACACCGAAGAGAGACCCACAGATTTCTAGGTGGGCGGTCTCTCTATCGTCACAGTTCCCGCTCTCGGCGCCTCTGACACTCTGGGCCAACAGCCCCCACCAGGCGTCTTGTCGTCCTGGCGGTGTCAGCAGCACCGTGGCTCCGCCTACCAGCTGTGGCACCCCCACACCCAGTATTAGACCACACAGATGTCCCCCAGGGGCAGAGCCGCCACCAGGTGAGAGCCACCCAGTTGTCTGACCAGACGGGCCCCTGGTGCTGGAGACGGCCCCGGGCTCACCCACAGTGCAGCTGCAGCACCGTCACAGGGCATCTGGACATGGCCGCAGGTGACCCGTCTGCTCGGAGCGACCAGCGAGGTGGCCGGACCGATGCTGCACTAACTCCACCTGGGTCTTCCAAGCACATCGGAAGGGTCACAGGGCACCCATGTCCAGTCAGCTTGGGTCTCTGCCCCCACATGTCCCCTTCCTCCTTGTGGCCAGCTGAGTTCCAGCCTGAACCCAGACCTCCCGACAAGGACTCCACTCTCTCTAGGATTCAGCATGGAGCTCAGCAGACGGCAGACCCCACACGCGTGCCCGCGGCCTCGGTGCGCTGGGCAGGCCCACGAGCCGGTCATCCTGCCCTCCCACCCGCCTCGATCACCACCAAGACCACCTGGCCCACCCCGCAGGGGTGGCCTGGCCCGTCACCAAGGGAGCACCGGCCACTACGTGACTGGTCAGCCTGACTTTGAGAAACCAAGCCAACATGCCAGCGAACTTACAGGGCCACCTAACGCGCCCCAGAGGCCCCTGAAGCAGGGCAGGTAGTCACTGGGGAGTGTTTTCCCCGGATATTTTGGTTTTCAAATTTTCAGCACTACACACAAGTTCTAGAACTTGGCAATCCAGAAAAAGACACTCCACAGCAGAGGGTCCTGGGGCTGCAGGGCGGGGGGCCTGTCCCCATATCCAAAGTGCGGGCTGAATGACATAGGGAAGAAGCACCAGCCTGGGGGACCTGCAGATGACACCTTCTGAAGTCCCCCGCCCCCCGCCAGCGTCTGATCAGGTAACACGCAGGGGCACGAACTTCAGTTGCTTCGACTGCAACACGGGCAGGGAAGGCAGCACACACGGAGACAAGGCCGGGCGGGGCAGACAGGGCCTCTCAGCTCAGCCTGCGCATCCACCAGAAGGATTAGTCCAGTAGCAGCGAAAGCAGGAGTGACAGTCACCAGCACAGTGGGGACAGTGGCCCAGCGAGCGAACAGGGAGGCACACGGGACGGATGCTCCAGTGAGGGGACACAGATGACACAGGACAAGGCTTTTTAGTAAAAAGTTACACAAAGTTTAGGAAGCTCACAAAAGCAACAAACAAGCGGTAAGCTTTACTTACCATTTATATTTTACTTTAAAAGCGTTTTTTTATTTACCAGCACCAGACACAAAGCTGATGCTGTGGGTTTGAGGAAAAAACCTTAGAGAAACACAAGCTCTTTGCCTCATAAGGAAAAGAAAACTTGAGAGTTTACTGGAAAAATTTAGATACCGAATTTGAAAAACGAACGCATCTGCGTTAGATACTGGTCTTCAAACTCTCGTGTGATTTTTAAGTCCGACTTACAAACGGGATAAAAATATATTATGTTTATTGATTTCCAATTTTAAAAAAATCACCTGAAACAGAACAGCACTAACGCTTCAGAGGCAATTCGCCGTCCCCGGTCCCCGAGAGGGAGACGGCGTGGCGGCCGCGGCCTGGATGAGGAGCGCTCAGGTGGACTCGGGTCAAAGATCACAAAACTCTGAGCTCAGGTGCTGTCCAAAGCAGGCCCATCGGACTCAGCTGCATCACCGTAAGGTGACAAAAGATACAATAAATTTGGCTCAGCCAGAAACAAAAAAAAACAAGCAAAACTAATTTAACGATTATCCAAATCACAAAACACCGTGACCCACGACCACCTGAGCTGCAGACACTCGCTGTCACTTGGGGACACGGCGCCCAGGCTGCCCTGATCCGGGCCTCTGGGGGCTGGGTCACAGACGTTCACACTTCTCTGGAGGCAAAGGAACCACACAGCCGGGCCCGTGTCTGGTGCACTGGCAGATAAAACGGGCTGCGCCCGTGGTCAGTGTGCAGTCAGCGCCCGCGCCGCCTGCTTTGCTGGCCACAGACTTACGTCAGTGATGGTGTTGAGGGCGGTGTCGGCGCCAATGCTGAAATCGGACCCCGGCACATTGTTGGAGACGGTGGCGGGGACCATAACCACAGGGACGCACAGTTCCTCGTGCTGCTCCCGGGCGGCTGACAGTTCCAGCAGACCCAGATAGGCCTGTGGGGCAAGCGTGGCCATTGGGGGCGGGTAGGGAGGGGCAGAGGGGCGCCGAGGGCCCGCTCAAAGGCAGCATGGGAGTGTGTAACGTCACGACAGGGGTGACGAGGACCCCACGGGACGTCATCGCGGTGACGCACAGCATGTTCCCTACTGGCAGTGCCCACGCAGCTGAGACATCTGCGTTCCGCTCAGAGTAAACCAGGGGGACGTCACGGCCGAGCTGGCTCAACAGAAACACGTGGAGGCCTGCAGCCCCGCCATGCGGGATCAGAGCCACGATTTGGCCACTTAGCTACCTTCCTCTCTGAAGGGCCAGTGGGCTCCCGGGTCAGGAGAGAACCAGTCCAGTTCTGGCAACTTAAAGACACCGGAACGCCCTGGACAGACAAACCCCGGCCAAGGGATCACGTGTCGCTTCCTGCGGGTGAGCCTTGCCACTGGCTATGCTTGGAGCTGCAGCTGTCCAAGGCACTTGGGGACTGGGACTCGAGGACCTTAACTCGTGAGGTATGTGGTAAAGCCGGTGCAGGCCACCACTTGACCTGCGGCACTGCCGAGCCGGCCGGTGCCCAGGACCAGGGACATACCTCGAAGCCACCGACGATCAGCAACGCGTTGAGGCTGTGTTTGCGCATCTGGGCGGCGATCTGCTCCAGGTGCTTCCCAGGGAGCGTCCTGAACAGTCAGGGCCGTGGTCAGGCACAGTGGCACCCCCGCCTCGCCCCGCCCACCTGCCGGCCCAGCCGCCTGGCACTGAGCCTCCCCACAGCTGGCGGACAGCAGCGCGGCAAGCGCTCACAGCAGGGGGCACGTCTCAAAAGGTCTTTTCAAAAGAAAGTGGGAGGCAGCTCGACAGCCACCCCAAGACTCCCATGGCCTCACTGGAGACCGAGACAACGCCCGGGGCAGCGCACATGCTCCAAGGGCCCTGCGAGGGCCGCCTCCGGGCCCGCACCTCGTCCCACGAGGTCCTGCAACGTCACACCCACTCGCGTGTGCTGTTCCCCCACTTCGTCATCTACTTCAAACAGCCGACCAGAGGGGTCGCGCTGACGGCAGCTGCCCTCACTGCCCACGTGCCCGTGAGTGGTCTGCGCCGTGGGCAGGGCGGTCGAGAAGCCGTGGGGCAAACGTGATCAGGGACAGGTGGTCAGGCACATGAGTGGGCGTGACGTCGAGGACAGGTCCCTGCCAGAGTCCACAGTGAAGCTCTGCAGCATTGTCAGGAAGTGCGGTCAGCTCGCCTAGAGCCTTCTGAGGAGCTCATAAAGCAAACGGTGCCTGGGCCCCCACTGCGGGCTGCGGGGGCTGGGAGGCGCCCTGGCAGGTGTCCCCGCCTCTGGTTGGGGGGTTCCCACCCGGAACCCCGTGGGCGTTTTAAGCAGAGTGCAGAGTGCGGCGGCTTCCTGGGACCAGCTCACACCCGCGTGGGAGCCGACGCTGACTAGACCCACGTACAAGCGACACGCCTGCCACCTAAAACCTGACAACAGCGACCGCTGAGGTCAACCTGCACCCTGAGGTCAAAGGGGAAAGCAGTTGGACTTCAGGGGAGGTCCCGGTGGCCGGTTCAAACACCATTCCGGCCACGCAGGAAGCGGGC